GGGTGCTCACCATGTATTGCTTCTGAGTCCTTTAGAGAAAAAGGTATTTGACTAATTGTGCACTGATAAAAGGAATGGCTAGTTTGGTGAGGACCTAAGTAGGAAATGAACTTGCATTGAAAAGAGAGCTCAATCAGCAGATGATACAGAAGCAAAATGAAGCTAGGAAAAAAAAAATCCAAAACATAACAAATTCACCGGTAATAAAACAGGAAGCATTTGACACTAAAGCTTGGAACTACACTGTAATTTTTCCCATATGTCATTTCAAATTGAAATATATATATTTACATAAATGTATACATTATACACATATTTCTTTTAAATAACTGTCATTTCTGTATTTATACATTTGTCTAAATATAGATTTTTAAATAAGATTGTCTTCTCAGGGACAAATTTTATTGCATTGTTAAAAAAAATCTAAGTTAATTATAGTTATTTAGATGAATATATCAATCCAGTGGAATGAACTATTTTGAGAAGTCAAAATCTTGATGCTCTAAGTTTTGACCAGACAAGAAGGGCATCACTGTTTGCATTATAGTGAGTATTCAGGTCCTATTTTACTAGTTAATGACTAACCAAAGACTTGTATTTCCTTTTCATCAAGTAACTCTTGGTTCTTATGTATAGCATTTCGGAAATTATAAAGATTTTTGGTGTAGTGAAATGTTTTGAGTCCTTATTCCTTTAGACCCAAAGAATTACCTTGGATTTGTCACTCATGAACACTGTCATCTAATCTCTTCCAATACTTTCTCTTTATTTATTAAATTTTAAATCTATCTTCAATGAGCAGCAAATGGAGAGGTTAAAAATGACAATCTTTATTTTCAGATTAGACTAGATAATAGCCTAGTAAGGTGTTCATAAATGATAACCTGAATTCAAGATTTATTAAATTACAACTTACAATATCAATTTGCATAGATGACATGGGAAATACGTATATTTTGATTATATATATATATATATATAATTTGCATATTTTAAAACTATTAAATTATACTTAGCAAATATAAGTATCTTGTTAAATTGTATTTTACATGGGCAACTAAATAGACATGATTAATTTTTACTCTGTTGTATAGAAAACAGAAATGGTAATTTGATGGTGGTAATGCAAACTTGACAGTTAAGCCTTTGCATATGCAATTACGATTTGTGGGTATATTACTGCTCCCAAAGCCTACAGGTGTAAGTGAACTGGGTACCAAAACAAGAGAAATTAATCTTGGAGAAGTAAAGAGTCTCTTATTTGCTTAAAAAATAATTAATTTGCTATTCCGAACTGAATCTGCGTGTTAACAGCTTTCATTATTATTGCCATTCAGGTCTTATCTACTATTCATTTCCAACTGCCTACAGCTTTTTCTTGATCTAAAAAATGCAAAACTATTTTTGAGATTCTGTATGTGTCTGATTGCCATGAAAGCTATGACAGATTCTTTAGAATGTAAGACAGGAATCATTAAAGGGTTTATTTTGCATCTTATGCATTCAAAAGTTTCAGAATTCATCTTGAATGTTTCAAAGCACACTAGTTCCCTAGTGTCTTATGGGTTTTTAGTCCCTAAACTCACATTCTCAATGAATGATTTTTCACTTGCACTTACAACATTCTACCTGGTCATGAGGTAATTAAAGATAGGAGATGAAGCAAATTTTCTTTGAGTATAACTTTAAATCACATTAGGGACAAAGCCAATATTTATGTTTAAAAATAATTCAGAAGCATATATACATAATGTGTGTGTGTGTGTGTACACGTGTGTGCGCTCTTTAATATAGGGTATGTTAACTCAAATCTCGTTCTGGATCAAGTTTTACCTGACTTTCTCCATGTTGCTTTAAGTCTGGAAAAATAACTTGAAGACTTGTACATAATAATTAACTCCTAAAATTCACACTAGTGTACTTGATTATGAGATATTAAAAAATAGGTAAATTTGTTGATTATTATTGTGTCTCAAAGGGCCAAAAAGAGTGTAGGCTGTATAATAGATGCCCAATATTTTTTTGTTGTTGAAAGTATTAATACAGGGCATTCAAAATACTTTTTATTTTAGTCATAGAATTAATGGCTATTTGGAATATATGTAAACGACAGATGTGATCCTAAATTTAAATGATCCCACTTGAATTTTGTCTTGGAAATTGCCGGTTTCAATTTACTCTATAAGCCTTTTCATAATGTTTCTAATGGCAGTATCAAAATTCCATTGAATACACAAATAATTTCTCTTTTTCACTTATGTTTACAGAAGAAAATAACCACATTTGTGAAATAACTGCTGCAAACCTGAATGATATATTAATGTACTGAAACTTAATAAAAAGAAACAGTTCGAATGCAGGCTTAAAAATTTAAGTTTGAAATACCAACACAGAGTATCTGACTATCAGGACAGATCTGATAGTCTTCTAAATGTGCTTTAAAATCTCAATGGGAAAATAGGAAAAGATGACAATTGGAAATGAGATAAAATTAAATTGATGTCCAGCCCCATTTAAGAAGGGATTTCTATTTTTTGCAAGCCTGTGCAATTGAATTGAAAATTCCAGTCAATGGCAACATGCCTGTTGGCATGGAACATACAGCATGGAACTAACCAGCTGTAGAGATTTATTGAGTTGGGGAAGGATGGCCTTTCAAGAATGACATTTGCATACTGGTGTGTAATCCAATCAAGTTAACAGACACAGCAGGAAAAATCAGGGGTGTGGGGCACAGGAGTTGGGGACGAATTCTGGGCACTGTTAATGCTGTTGCGGTTTTTCGTTAACTTCCATTCTGTACTAAAGAGAAAGGGATATGACTGGTACACACTGTGCCAGAAAAAGAACATTGTATACCTCACAGAGATTAGTTGGCAGAGTTTAATTTTAGGTATATATGAGCTCCTTAGAGGATGACTAATGAGAAAGAAAATAAAGTTGGACTCATGGAAATATATTGCAGTCCAATAAAGAGAAAACCCTATCGTGCAAATGAAAGGAAAAGTGTACTCTTTAAAAATGATTTATTGTTGTAATATTTTAGAAATCTGTTCTGTATTTTAATAAGTTTCGAGACGGCTTGATGAAATAGTAGCACAGAGAAATAAGAAAAGAACACTTTTACAATTTAAGAAAAAAGACCTCAGGTGTGCAAATATAGAAACTAGCTAAAAGAAAGGGGTTTGGTTTTACAGTAGGATCTAGAAATTGAAATGTCTGAGGAAAAGCTGTAAACATACAAATAAAAATATTTCCAAGAAAGAGAACAGACCTCAGCAGCAGGAGGTTGGGACCTCTCCGTTATGCATGATAAGACAAGGTCCAAATCTTTGATTAACTTGTGTATTCTCAGAACCTAGTAGCATAACTTATGAGGGACCGGCAGACCCTGAGTGACAGATGAATGATTACACTGACACACGATTGCTGTGAAAGAGAGGGCTAAGGGACTGCCTAGCTCTAGGAACCAGACAGCCTTATTCACTTGCCTCTTCAGGCTTTCATTATAACAGCAATTTGAGATGAAGTTTAATTTTTAGATACAATCAAGTAGGGTAAGCATTCTTGGAAGGACATATGCATGTCCTTTAAGCAGGGATGTCTAAAGATTAAGCATAAAGATTCCATTAAACACCTGGGGGTCCACACTTACACAGACTTGTTTGGAAAGGTTAGGGAACAATTAGGAGCGGCCAACTTCAGCCAACTCCTTTAGGTTGGAATTTCCTCCTTACAGACTGTCCAACCAAGTCTCCCATGCTCCCTTACACCTTGATGTATACTATAATTCACCTCTTCCATTTCACAATCTAGAGGATTATGGGAATGATCTATCAAATATTGGTTTATAAAGCATGCCCTTGTGTTCCTCAAGTGATAACTCTATCAAGAGAATATAAACTCAGATATTCCTCTTGAGGTATCTTAAAGACCAAGTTTTTGTTGCTTGTAGCATTGCTATGTGGCTGAAGGCCATAAAATGGCAGTTTTCTGTTTCCTCTGGGATCCTCTTTCCCCAGCCAACTGTCAGATGGAATGGCACATTTGTCACAAGAATCAGTAATAGAATTACTGAAATCACTGTTCTTTAATCTGATTTTTAAAAATTGAAAGAGGAAATAAAAGCCATTTATGAAAAGTTAAAAATATTTTATTTGATTTTTTTATGTGTTTAAGATATACATTTTAAAGAACATAAATATATTATGGACCAGAATGCAGAATTTGTAAGACCTAACACAATGAAAATTTTCTGCTTGATATAGAATGCTTTCACTCTTCAGTGCTATTGTGGTTGTTTTAGTCGGGATATATATAGTGGGATTATAGATGAAATTACAACAATTACAACCTCGTGTCATTTGGGCTAGACTGGTTGGATAATAACTGGTATTTTTCATTCAAGTTTCCCTAAATGCTATTTTAATTATTTTTTCTCCCTCTCTTCATCTTCCATATCCTCCTTCCCTGCTCCAGGGTCTACA